TTGATTTCAGAGAAGAAGGGAGAGGAAGAGAATAGAAATATCAATGATGAGGGATGCCTCATCATTGATAGGCTGCCTCCTGCACGACCCATACTGGGGATCAATCCTCAACCACTGAGCACACTAGCCAGGCTTGCTTTCTTTTAACTAATGTATTTAATCAGTTTATTAGTTATGTCTTTTTTCCTAATCAGACAAAAAAAATCATAGGTATCCCTTATGTTTTAAAGTCCCTTTGTTGCTTTTTAAACACCAAAAATGTATTGTATGTGGTATGGCTTTCTGATAAAGAAAATATCTCGTTTGATGTATTGCATGAAAAAGTATAATTACCAGTTTGCTGATTGGATTTACTTCCAAACATTGACATTTTTGCTTCAAATGGACATTAAGGAATGTTTCAGGTCTTAGTTTTTACCCATTTACCTCAGTTAGGCAACAGTTTGGGAAGAGAATAAACTGTCAACATTATGGTGAAGCAAAGTGAGTACACAGAAACCTTTGTTATGAGTCATCAGTTTCTCTGAATAATGACGTATCTGCAACAAGCAAGCGTTCACCCCTTAAATACCTGGGGCTGGGCTCTTCCCACTCACTTTATGCAGACCTCAGCTGCCTGATTGGAGAGACCAGTGCGAAATGAAAATGATTAAGATTTTCAGGATGACAGCAGGGCATTGAACCAAATGGGGGGCCCTTCTGAGCGTGGGGTCCGGTGCAGCTGCACAAGTTGCACACCCGTGAAGCCACTGTGTTCACAGTCATTCCTGGCTAATGGCAGAGGGGCCTTTTGCTGGAAGCCAGCCCTGGGCCAGGACCACATGGGCCAGCTGCCCTCCGCTTGACTTGGGCTTCTCAGCTGCTCTGTTTCTGCTCCCTGGGTCTTTATTAAAACCTCACCCAGTCCTGAGACCGGATGCTGCCTAGGAGACGGGAGGGGTGTGCTAGGAAACGCCCTGGCGTGGCTGGGTTCTCGCTCAGGTAGGGCTGGGTGTGGGCTGTGACAACTGACCTCGGGCTGCCCTTCCGTGCTTGCTGAAGAGAGAAGCGGCCAGGCGCAGGACCTGCCAGCCGACGAAAGTCTGTCCCGCAGCGATAACAATGGTAGCATTATTGAAGCTGTGGTTTTGGTGGTTCTTTTTTTTAATTCTGTGTAGTCATCCTTTCTTGCACAGAACTGCCCTTGTCTTTTGCAGCTTATCCTTTAAGTCCATCTTTTGGTGGCACTTGCCGCCTGGCAGCACAGGGTCTGATCAGCGTGTTGATTCCACTGATGTTGCCTGTGGATCACGAATGGGGGTTGGTGGGCCTCGCGCAGTCTTTCAGTCCTCCCACCAGGCACCAGGCACCAGGCTGCACAGCCCATGGGTCAGTGAAAATGTGGGCAGGAGCACCTGGGGCTGCTTTCCAGGTAAGCTCCACAGCCCGCCTCTGCCCATGAAGCAGAGTTCACTGTTCCATGCACAGTTGGTAGCAGAGGCACCTGACACCATCAGCCTTCCCAGTTCCCTTAGCGCAGTGATGGCGAACCTTTTGAGCTCGGCGTGTCAGCATTTTGAAAAACCCTAACTTAACTCTGGTGCCGTGTCACATATAGAAATTTTTTGATATTTGCAACCATAGGAAAACAAAGATTTGATATTTATTTTCTATATTGAAATGCCATTTAACAAAGAAAAATCAACCAAAAAAATGAGTTCACGTGTCACCTCTGACACGCGTGTCATAGGTTCGCCATCACTGCCTTAGCGGCTCTTACCTGGCCCGGGCAATCTTTGATAAATGGAAGCCCCAGGCGCCTTGGCAGCCATCTCCCTGCAGCCACAAGGCCCAGTGATGCTTAATGAGAAACGTAGAGATGCCTGGAAGATGGTTGTCAAACCCTCTTGAAAACTAACGCGCCAGCTGGTCAGTGCCTTCGGATACAAAGGCAAAGAAGCCTGGAGGTCATTTGCCAGAAAGATTATGATAAGGAACGTCAGACAAGTGGAATCCTGTGTAGGCAGTGCAGCCTATGCATCATCATCAGGAACTTGTCTTCACGTAACAGTTTCTGGCCAGTGTTTTTCGTTTTTAACACGTTAAGCGCCCAGCCTGTTTTGTCTTCCGGACGGGAAGTATAGTGTCAGTCACCGGTGACTGACTGGGCGCTTAACGGGTTAATATATTTTTATTTATTTCAGAGAGGAAGGGAGAGAGAGAAAGAAACATCGATGATGAGAGAGAATCATTGATCAGCTGCCTCCTTCATGCTCCGCACTGGGGATCAAGCCCACAACTCAGGAATGTGCCCTGACCGGGAATCAAACTGTGACCTCCTGGTTCATAGGTCACGCTCAACCTCCGAGCCACACCAGCGGGGCTGGCTAGTGTTTTTTGCTAAGACCAAGAGTAGTCAAGGCTTCGTGGTTTTACCCCAGGGACTGTGACCTGCAACCTCGAGATTACTTATGCTTGTTTAGGAAACTTCATTGTCAGAATGTTTGTTATAGAAAATCAGGTTTGTTCACGTAAAGGTATGTGTTTTCTTTGTCCTAGGATTTCATAGTATTGTTTTAATTAACTCTATCCACTGGTCTAAGTTGTGTTAATTCTTTTACTGGTTAGGAAAACTATTTCTAGACAGTGGTTCTCAAACCCAACTAAAGACATCAGAATTCTCGGGAGTGGGCCCTGGCACTGATATTTTTTTAAAGCTCACAGCTGATTCCAGGATTGAGAATCACTATTTAAATTTTCTTCAAAAAAGAAAATGGTGTTTATAATAGATTTGTTTTTATTTATATATTTTTAAACAAACTGAGGACACTTGAAAAAAGTGCCCTTTTATTTTTAATTTTTATTTATGTATTTATTTTTATTAATTTCAGAGAGAAAGGGAGAGGGAGAAAGAGAGAAACATCAATGATGAGAGAGAATCATTGATCAACTGCCCCCTGCATGCCCTCTACTGGGGATTGAGCCCACAACCCAGGCAATGTGCCCTGACCGGGAATCAAACCGTGACCTCCTGGTTCATAGGTCGACGCTCAACCACTGAGCTATGCCGGCCGGGCACAGATTGGTTTTTAAAATACATACAAAATCTTGTTATTCTACCCGGATTTTCCATTTAGTTTTTCTACCTCCTCCTCAGCGTTCAGCTGTGACAGATCACTTTTGTTTTTAGTGTCCTGACTATTTCATTCACCCCAATAATGTGAACTGAGCACCTACTATGTGCAGGCCACAGAACCAGGCCAACATGGCCTAACTCTGCCTTCAGGGAGCCACCGGGTGAGACCAGCATGTAAATGGATCCATTACAACACAGTAGGGAGGATGTGTAGGGGGCATGACTGGAGCCCAGAGGTAGGCAGGGGTTGTCAGGGAGTGCTTCCTAGAAGAGGTGACTCCCAAAGTGAATCTTAAAGTATGACCAGGCACAGCAGCCCTCTGCCTTTCAAATTTACTGATCTGCTGAGGGCTGTGAGTTGAGAACAATTCAGGTAGGAAAGCTCATGTATCGGGTTGTTGAAAGAGAGGTTACTTCTATGGGAGGGCCTGGGGGATTGGTGCATGAAGGCCAGAGCCTTGGGACAGCGTCCGGCGGAGTTTCACTCCAGCTCTGCTCCAAGGGCGAGGCTGCTGAAAGACT